CGATGGACAGCCTACTAGCCTGAGTCTGGAGAAGAAAAGGTAATAAACTCACTGAAATTCTGTTGCTTATCTGGATAATTTATTAATGCTGGATATTACAGTCACTATTGATGACTAGTCGTCACTATTCGCCACTTTTCGCAACTGTTCAGCACTATTCACACTATTCGAGTCTATTCGCACTATTCGGGACTATTCGCTATTCACTATTCGGGTTTTCCAGACACACTCTCCCTAGTTTTATAGCCGCTGGCTAGACCTGGACAGCCTAGGTTCGGGCTTCGTGCAAACCCAGGTGGAAAGCTAGCAGGCAATTGTTTTTGCAAAACTGCTCAGATCTATATGTACAAGATCAATCAATAACTTTATTAAAGTAAATAACGTTATTAAAACAAAGACCCTCTACAAACTGAGGACACTATACTGGTATCTAATTGTCAATTAAATCTAGAAATTCAGCAGTGTACTTCCAGTTTTCTGATTGTCTCACGACTCCCGGCTTGAACCGGAAAACTGAACCTCATATCGAAAATGGACGGGTGATTCGTTGATCTTTGCGACCTATAATTTTTCACACTGTAAAGATTGATAAAAAGCATTAAATCATTGAATATGAGGAGTATTTTCCTCTACAAATTATAGTACAAAAAAAAAACATTAAAAGCAAACCAAACTTAATTAACAAAAACTTCTAAGCCCAAAAACCTACCCAAAGTGACTGGAAACTGATTTACGCCAAACATTCCTATTAGGAGCCACTAAGTTTGTTATTTTGTATACAACTGGATTCCAGTGGGGCAGATCTTGCAAACCAGCGCCATAAACATCACAGACGAAGTGAACATTTTGTTACCTTATTTGTCCTTCGTTCAGCGAAGTTATCGGTTATGAGCTTGATGTCAAGCTTTCAAAATTCTTGGTCAATTTGGCTCCTTACAGGAATATGATGTTAGGCCAGGAGCCATAATCGGGGACGGAGACCGTAAGCGCGCGCCATTTCAAGTATTGGGGTTGTCCCCATG